ATTTCATATTTTTTAAGGAACACTGCATTTTTTCTAGGGAACATATCATAACTATTATATAGAACCTTTCATCTTTCATATTGATCATTGCTTTGTTTTAAGAAAAATATTTTAAATGTACTTGTACAGTTTTACTTTTTCATCGCGCTTTCACTTTTTTTCATTGAGCATTTCAAGATTGGCACATCTACCTTTATCTTTATGTGGTAGTTTATGAAATTTTATTGAACTTATTGATTAAAAAATGGGCATAAGAATATTTTCCCGAATAAATATCACTGGTGAAATGGATTGAGCTTCTAACTTATGTTCATCAAATGTGGCTTCCTACAGCTCTCAAGTTCCGTGGGTCTGAATTTGGCACAGCTAAGGGCATGAAATTGATATGAATTTTATGGAAGCTATAACTGCCACCAGTCCAGCCAAAGCTACACCGCACAGTGGCATGAAGATTTATGTGTCATAATGATTTATGCACTTGAAAATTTACGAACCAGATTGTGCGTTCGACTGCTTCAGTAAATGGGACTTCCCCTTCTTGTTGGCTACGGTATTTATTCATGAAAGTATGTTTTTCAGTGGAAGCCCGTCGAGCAAAAAATGCCACCCTGGAAAATATGCAACTAATGTTATTCATCCTTCCTAGTCAAAATAATGCTCGACCAAGCTGGCAACCTCACTGACTGGGTTGTCCGCAAAGCCTCTCTTCGGTAGACACCCTACGTAAATATTTAAACATGCTTTTGCTCATTCCTCTTCCACCTCGCAGGATATTTCCACCCACTCACATACCCCCAATAGAATGGCAAGTTGGTTAATCTTTCTTCTTTATTTCTGGCATCTTTCAACGGCAACGAATGATTCCTCGGTGAGTACTTGCTGTACCTTCTATAGCAAAACTGCCACCGTGTCCGGTTGAGCAAGTTGTGTCTACTCAAAACGGTCCTTTGCTATCCTTCCCACAGCAAGTAAATACTCAGCATCCCACATACCAGTCAGCTGCGGACAGTAGATAGAAGAATAACAATTTTCACAACCTGCCATAAAATATTACGAAAAGGAAATTCTCTCGGTTTAGCCAGTTCTATCAGCACTTCTATGCTCTCGAGTGGTTCAACACGCTGACAGCCTAACAACACCCATGTTAGAGAAGAGCAAGATAGGACAAACTGGCTATGGCTTTAAGAATGTGAATAGGGCAATGCCTCACAACCTTCGGGTTTATTCAGGTGCGGGCGAAGTGCGGATATATGACTTGCTTGGAAGCATTATAAAATACGACCGATGAGATCAACTCGAACTTAAATCGGATTTCTCTCAAAACCATGAAAAGTGGGGTGACTCACCAGTGAGTCAAATGTTCCTGGGTTTTCCTTAAAAATCTGCATGAATATGAGGAAAAATGAGGAAAATTATACTCATACATATTACGGGATGTAAGATCTACCACCGATTCCTAGCCCTTACTATTTCAAACTAGACGAACAGGAGTGTTCAGTTATCAAAGGAACACATATTAGTCCTTGTTACTTTTTATGCCTGGTTAATAATGATTATTCCTTGGTCCCAGGATGATATTGAAACAAGTAAAAAACAAATTAGTTAGTCTTCATCTATGTGATTCCTTTTGACTGACAAAGGGGCGTGCCTTTGGAGGGTGCTCTCACTCTTCGAAAGGTATAAATAGCGGGACTTTTGAACGAAAATCGATTCTTTGTAAATGTATCAAGACCGAATACTTTATCATTTCGCAATAGTGATGGAGTAATACGACATGCACTATCCTAATGACACGGGATATATTACAATAGATCAAATTACTGGTTGCTGTGGTTTTAGGTATGTCCAGAGGGAGAAAAAAAACCACGTTCTACAATTATTTTGAATTGATTTCATCGGCTGTGCAAATCCTTATGTGGAAAACACTGGGGAGTTCTTATGATTTTATTACTGATCTGAAAGTGTCTTTTTCTTTTTGAAGACAATTACTCATATGTTTGCTAGAAAAAAATCGGCCATTTTAGATCTTGTATTTTTTTTTTGTCAAAATGATGTCTTTGTCATTTGTCAATAAATTGTATGTATGTATGTATGTAAGTAGCCACCATCCTAGCTTGGGTCTTGCCCTGCATGCGGCTCCACTCAACAGCAAGATCAAATTCCGTCATCATTCTGAATTCAACATACTGCTGTATGAAGGGCCAAAAAGGGTTGGACGGGCCCGTAAGCAGAGGCACTTACGCGAAACCCGCGGGAATAAGAGAATCTCCTTCCAACAATATGATCCAACAAAATGAATAATGAAATTCGCAATGCATGTTAAGCTTTCCACGGGATGATTTGTTTAAGAAGAGCGCGTCAAATTCATTGCAACTGTTGGAGTGAAATGTAACTATCTAAAATGACAGTACACATTCCCTCCTAGACTCCGGTTGGCACTCCACTCCATTGTCCAGTTACAACTTCAATGATGCCCTGATGCTCCCTTCCGTCCCAGTATTTATTGTAATTTACATTATGAATTTATATATAATCATGTAATATATAATGTATATAAAATATGTAATCAAATAAAAAATATAATAAAAAATAAAGATGTTTTACAAAATACAAATAACCTAGATTATTGGGTCCTATACACACACTTTTTGTTTTATGTGCCATGAAATGACATAATGCATCATTGTATGTTTTGAAAATATAATACTAAAGTATTGAATCAATAGACCGAAAATCGAGGTTATTTGGACATGAGACATAATATTTAAAAGGATACTACCAAACCGACCATCAAACGCACTGCCCACAAAAGCAGACACGTGCCCTCGAAAATGCAATCGAGAAATGTACAAGAACAATCCTCAACTGGAACGTACTCACCAAATCAATATATCCGGGAGCGCATTCCCGATGTCGTCGAACGGCAAAAAAAGGGAACTCGGTGAGCAAATTTGTGATACGGAATTTTCACTGAAAACAACCACGAATTTCACCACATCCAACTGCGAAACACGTTCAGAAGCACTTTTGGTACACTTTCGATATCAATTTCTTTTGATTTATTTTTTTATTTTTTGCTAAAATAGTTGCAAGTGTACCAACATCAACACCAATCGTGCACCTTGCAGCGCGTACATAAACTGGAATTAAAATTTTCACTCGCGATGCCACAAATTTCTGGTCCGGGAGAAACAATCAAACCACGCAGCGCCACACCTTCTGATGCTTGTTATTTTGCAAACATCATGAATCATGTTTTCTTTCTCGATTCTAAAACTTCTCGGAAAGCGAGAAAACTACCACTCACACACGTATAACCGTCCGGGAGGCAGAGTGCCAGCGCTAATCCGGCAAATGCAGCCGAAAACTATGAAGGCGAACGCACGCACAAAACAGAGAACAAACACAACCTTATCCAAAGGGGTTCCGTGCGCGACTGTTGTCATTTGTCAATAAATTGTAGCACAAAAAACGTCACTTCTGATCTGATATGAAACAAAATTTAATTGTAATTAGTTTTTCAATGAATCCTCTGCTTAGTGGCTCGAACAGACATTTTCAATAAATTGTAGCATGAAAACTTTACTTCTGATCGAAATTACGTCTGAGAAAAAGTTATTAAGAAAAGTACCTAAGTCTGTCGAGCATAAAAAATATAAACCGTTTTTTTTGTGATTTACAATAAAATTTAAAAAAGTGTTACAAACTCAAATATCTCAAAAAGTATATGATGATGATGATGGTCCCACCTCTTACCCCTACAAAAGTTTGAGCTGGACGATTTATCTTTAAGATATTTTTTAAAAGAAGATCATTCAAAATACAAAAATCCATGGACACATGGAAATTTACAAAAATCGTAGAACAAGCATTTTTGGTCACATGTTTGAATGCACTGTAGACCGAGGAATAAAAGCTCAGAGGAGTCAATAACGGAGCTCATCAACGATATTCGTTTCTCGAGAAGGAAGTCAAGCTATTTTGCAAAAGGAATAAGTGAGCGTGGGTGGACTCTCTGTCTAATAAAGGGCAGAAAGCCAAAATAACTAGCAATATCCGTTTTTTTTTTATCGACCCCACTGACCATCTAAAATGTTGGTTTGAGTACTTCGAACAACCTATTCAAGCTTCGATCAGCCATGAACATCTCGACCTGTTTTGCATCACTTTCGTCAACTCCTAGGTCCCATCATTGCAGGAGATAGAAACAGCTATCCGAAGCATGAAATACAAGTAGATTCCATCCTTTCCCATGCATCATATGCTGCATCAATTATCATGTAATATCTGGGATACCACGCCAGTGAAGATCCCAAAGGAGGGCGATCTGATTGTGTGCGACAATTGTTAAGGTATTATGTTATTTTTGCCCATCTAATTGAAATGGCATCTGAGACAAAGTTATAGGAGTTACTGGTCTGCCTTTTCAAAAACAAAATACCCACTGAAAAAAAAATCACACATTCTCCGTTAGAAAAAATATTAAAAACTTCAATATCAAAAAAGGACATTTTAAAAATCTAAAAACTTATGCTTATTTTAAAGTTTACCAGACATGCTTACTTTTATGAACTGGACACAATGGACAGTTAAAAATCGACCAAAATCGTAGAAAATAAACTTTTAAGACAAATTCTGAACTTCTTTTCCACAAAGGTTTATTATTGTTTTTCATGCATAAAACATAGGGTTAATGTCGGTTTTGCATTTAATGATTTGTGCAACCAAAATGTAGATGTTAATTTCACTGTATTTTTCCATCGAAACATTCCCTGAATGCTATCAAACGATTCCTTAGTCTTTCAGCTGTAATATGATTACATTTTTACGACTGAACATTCTGTTACAATCCAAACCAGATTGTCTTTAAATGCAATATACGCACTATCAATTGCGGCTGATTTCGAGTTACAGATCATAAATATAACAACTGGTTAATACGCAGTTCAAATGGAAATATTGCTCAAGAAAAAAAGGCTACCGACAATAGTCACACTCACCTGAGAAGTTTGGAGCGTTGTAAATACGCCTTCAAACACTTTTGGACAATTCTGTTGATTGGAATGGATAGAGAAGCAATCAGTAAATAAATGTAAATAGAGGCACACGTTATATGTGTGCGTGACGATGAGAAAATGCTAATAGAAGCACGGACCAAATTTTTAAGTCCAGAAAATCGTTTCCAATGCACAAATTATATAAATATAGCGTGAAAAAAAAGATCAAACATTTTCCTGAAAGTTGACGTTTTACGATTTTGGTCAATTATTAAGTGTCCATTGTGTTCATTTAAGAAAAGTTAATAGTTAGGTAAAATACAAAGTTTCCAGATCGCTCTTAGCAAGCAGTTGTGTGTTTTTTTTTGGACGCGAGTCACGCGATGGTTTGTTTTCCGATAGCAACTATTTTTGCGGTGTCCGTTGCTCATTGTTTGAAGTTCGTTCGCTTATGCCGTTGTCCCGTTGGAAGCAAACTAGTGGAGATGTCGGTGGAAATACAACATGGCAGTGCGAAACTATCTATGGAATGAATTGTGAATTTTGTGAAATCGGATCCCACTCAGATGATCGCTACCCGAGCAAAGTCCAGCATCAAAATGAAAGCAAATTGAAATCAAGTTTTGATATTAACATCAAAATGAAATCATAATTTGATTTCAGTTTACGCAATTGACAAATTTGATACCTAATTTTGTTTTCATTTTGCTGTAAATTTGCTCTTCAAAAATATGTTGTTGCGGGTTTGTTTTCATTGCCTTAGCATAACATCAAATTGAATACTTATTTTGTTTTCAACAGGAAAAATGGATATCAAATATAATTTTCAGTTTGCTCTCATTGATGTGATGTAACAAGAAGATTTGTTTGCTCTCAATTTTGATATTTTATAACGACCAAAAGACAGCAACTTGAGTAATCGTTATCAGCGAAATCACAACATCAAATTAAGATTTCAATTTGATCTCAGACTTTGCTCGGGTACCTTTCGCATAGAGGAGAAAAACTCTATGTTCATCAAGTTCAAATTAAAAGCTATACCGTACAACCGTGAACAATAAATTTTCCATTATGCTGATGGAAAGTAAGTCGAGGTACGCATGTCACCTACTAGGGGTACCGTTCAATACGTGAGAGTGTACGACCTCCCACTAGAAGTCCCGGATATCAATCATTGGTGCTAGGGAAATATTGTGATGTAAAGCGGTACTACACGGGATAAATTTCCAGCTGCCTTAGGCCTCCCCAATGAGCAATGCAAGCTTTATAGAGGGTTTATAGCATTCTACAAGCCTAAATCATAGTCTACAGAACCCTTTTAAAACCAAAATTGTTACTTGGGTCGTCATGCACACAGGTATGCCGGGTGTATATAGATGTAAAAAAGGAGATTCCCAACTAGCTGCATTTCCTCAATCGAAAGGGGAACATATTCTATCAAGGGGACATAAATTCCTGCCCAAGCTGAAGGATCGGACGCAGCCAGAACAACAACGAACGAAAATTGAAAATCAACAACGGTATGAGCAAGAGAGTACTACCCGTACCCATGGTGGGTATATACATGGTGATGCAGCTTTGTCACTATATAGGCGACGAGGTCGCGAGGGGGAAAAGTGCGGTTTTAGAGCAAATTGTAAACAAACTAGGTCGCTGTCCCATACAAAAATCCAACATGGCTGAATCATGAATTTGACACATTAGAACACCTATATGTAGTCACCTTGCCCGTACCTACGTACGCTGACGCTGGTGTAGTGACTGGAGGTGCATCACCAAACGAGAAAGCGGTTGAGGTCCTGGAAGAAGAGGTGGTGGTGATAGATGTGATGAGAAGAAAGTGGAGAGGAAGCAAGCGCTGTTGAGAAACATTCGTCTGTTTTCAAGTAGGGGAACTGAGGGTAAGCCGGCCCCTTAAACACTAAGGCAATTTTAAAATAATAAAGAGCTGATTTGGCCATCTTTCCCATGCAGCGTCCATGTCCAGACAGTTTTGAAGAAACTGTGTGGCAGCAAGGTTTAAATATGTTATTTATGTTTATTTCAAAAAAGTGACAAAAATTTACTTACTAATAACAGTGTGGGGTAAAACCGGCAGTCTTTACCAAACGAGCTTTTTGCATTCGAAAATTTTATTAAATTATATGATTAAGAAAGCATTAATTAGAAACATTACACTTTAAACTGGTAACTTTTTAGAATTCCGAATTCATCAGTGCTCCTCCGTATCTGGTTCTGTGTATAGAACTTGATTCGTATTTATTCACTTTAATTGCAGTGCTGTAAATTCTCAAAATCAATTGAATATTCTTGATGAAAATAAAAAAGCAGCTATACGTTATCAAAGGAGACCTCGTTCGAATGGGTGATATTAGTTGCTTAGTCATTTGACGAAGGCATGGATCATTCTCATTTTTTCAGTGTTCACTCGGCTGTCGACAAAAGCAGGCCACTCTCGATGTGTGCTACGCGATCGTCTGTTTTCTCGGCAGCAACCATTGTGTGGTCCTCCTCATTGTTCTTCATCAGCAGTTCTTTCGGTCGATGCGTCGTCGACTTTGGAAAGAAACCGTTTCGTGATGAGTGTGTGAGTGCTGACCACGTTTTGCGTCCATTGCTGCAATGGACGCGCTCTGACCCTCGTTGGCGTACAACAATTTGCCATACAATGAAACTACTGGAAGCGGCTCCAGTTCTGATGGAGAAGGCTTTTTGGATAGCGGAAGATAAAGTGTTTATTGTGTTGTACCTTTTGACTATAGTTTTAAGTAGTGACCAAGAATCCTCGGCTCTGTAAAGTTAATTCGGTTGAGCCTTATCAAATAAATTAATAAACTATGACATTCTCATTTGAGAAACGCTTGATATCATTCAATTGAGTGTAACCTACACATAAACGGAGCTCTGGAAGACATTCCTGCGAAAAAGCTAAGCCAACCCGACACTAACCTGACTTCTACAAAAGCCCAACCTGATGTTGACTCGACATTGACCCGACATAAACCCAAAATTGACCCGAAAACAACACGACTTTAAATTTGCCTGTACGGGACCATTTTGTTAGGATTCTTCCATACTCCACTGTCGTATATCAAATGATAGTGAGTGACTCAATTGACAATGACAATAAGCTTCGAATGAGAAAGGAGGACTTCAAATTATGATCATGTGAGAATTATATTTCACAGAATTGATTGAATGGTTGTATTGGTTCATCTTGAATCGAATGATATGAAAATTAACAGCACTGCTTAATTGGTTAGTTAACTTTTTGCACAGTAGTCGAATTGATTTGCAGTGATCAAAACAGTTACTCTGAGTTGCCCAATCTAAATATCAAACATATTCAATGTTGAGAAAAGTGTGAATTTGTGACAAGCAAATTAATATTTTCATTCCGTTCCCCTTTATGTTCATAGACTCTCATTAAAAGCCTGGTGTAATTTCAGATCGCAACCAAATTCCTTCAAACTTGGCGCAGCTGTTGGGAGCATCATCAATACAAATCGAAGAGCCATAAAGAGTGAATATTTGTGACCTACCCTTATACTCAGCACTCCAAATAGAGTAACAGTCTTACTCCACTTAACGAGTGACGGTCTTACCTCAACAGATCATATTTTTTCCAAAATCATGGGCCTTATTACGGGTGTCACTACACGGTGATAAGGAAGTGATACTCATAATAAGAGCCGTGATTGCCGTACAAATCAAATGGGAATCACTTCACCGTGACGACAAGTGACAAGTTTTCACTGTGAAGTGACATCCGTAATTAGTCCCCATAATTAACATCATATTATTGATCAAACTGATCTATAATCGCACAAGGATGATGATAAAAGGTTAAGTTGACAATATGTGTGCAAAACAAGAGGATTCCTATCTTTTAGTGCTGTCAAAACCTTAAAATCGATTGGAAAAAATTACATCCAGCAACAGACGATAGATGCTTAGGTATGTTTTGTTTATTTTCTTAGCATTTGGCAGTTTATTGTGGGTCTAATGTATTTCAAATTTTCAAAATAATGGATTCAAAAATCACCTGTGTTTATTTAGTTGCACTAAAACTGATTTCTAGTAAAAGTGATGGGGTGCCGGGCTTACCCACAGTAATGGGCTTACCCGCACTTCCCCTAGAAAAATGATGCGCCTTACTACTTCAAATTCGGGATACTGGACTAAACAATTGGAATAAGCAAGCGAGTTGAGGGTATGGATGAAAGCAGAAGCTTAACTCAAGTCGTCTCCAAGGAAGAGTAAGAAGAACTTATAAACTATGTCCCTCATTAATACTCTATTGTAATTATGAAATTATTTAAAGGTTCTCAGCTCCGTGAAGTCATTCTGGACATTTGAGCATAACAATTGAACTAATTAAAAAAAAAGCACTTCAAAGTATTTAAAGTTTGCTTTTTTGATTAGTGAAGTTTTTAATTTTTTTTTAACCGTTCGAAAATTTGTGATTTTTTCATTGTGTATTATTATTCTGAAAAAGCAATCCAAATTCCTACAACTCTGTCTCAGACGACATTTCAATTAGATTAGCCGTTTTTGATTTGAGGAAAAATATCGAACATGCACAGATAAAAATTCTGAATTTTAATTGTGATGTAAACATTCATTCACGTAAACTTGTATTTAATTTCACGCAACCGAGCAACTTGTAAACAATGTTGTTTACAAAGATGGGCTTTTGAATACAATATTTGCTACATTGCATGAAATGTGTCAGAACTTTACATGATATATAATGTAAACGTATATTTATGATATGTGACGCTCCATTTATGTGCATCATATCAAACAGAAATTTACACTACTTTTTCGAACTGTGTGCCATTTTGAAAAATTAGGCGAATTGTGGCTCAAACTTGGTTCATTTCCCCTTGCGAACAATTAGCCAAAGTTTCATGGCATTCGGAGAGTGAAAATAAAATCGATTCATCGGTTGGCGTGGAACTGCTCAATATTTTTGTTTTATTGAGATGTATGATTCATTAAATCAGTAATAAATATAAGTTTTTGAACATTCCATGCTCGGGAAAAATGTCGAAAGACAAAAGGTCGGTAGACAAATAGTTGATAGGAGAAAAGGTCCAAAGACAAAAGGTCGCATAACAAGAGGTCGAAAGACAATAGGTTGAAAGATCAAAAGGTCGAAGTACAAAAGATCGAAACACAAATGGTCAAATGAGACAAAAGATCAATATGCCGAAGCTGAATAAATATTCTGAAACGTCCAACAAACATTGGAAGTTGAATAAGTGCTTATTTAGGCAAAAATATGCTTTCCAACATAAAAATGGTTTGTTCATCTTTCAATCAGCTCAAATTATATTTTGGGCGATGTGTCATGACTTCAAATCTTTTTATGTTTCTCTCTCCGAATTCCATGAAACTTCGCATAATTGTTCACTAGGAGCAATGAGGTTGTGCCGGAATTCGGCTATTTTGACTTTTACCTAGTTTTGCAAAATGGCGTTTTGGAAAAACGCTGAGGTCACTAAAACACTTAGCTGAATGTATTCAATGTAATTTCCTGATTAAATTTAGATAGTCGTTAGATTGAGCAAACGCATTCCACCAGGAATTTTATAAAGTTAAACGCAATAATAATAGAACAGCTTTCTAACACGAGACACACGACACAGCTAAATCTCAATCCTGAGATGATTGAAAATCTTACGCAATCGAATCTATGTATAAAAAATCTTTTTTTTTTATTTTACGCATCTAAATCTATCTATCGTTACGCGCTAGCAATATGGACCACTGTGCGACGTTATGTTTCATATTTACGTTCGATGTTCAACAAAATCAAAGCATACCAAAGTTGGTGAGTTGAAAATCGTTCTGTGCTGCTATTATTCTGAACAGTACTATTGAGATTAGTATGCATAATTCAAAACTATTTTTTCTAGGGTAAATAATTTATGTCGCACCAGTCTTTGCTAAGGACTGTATCGATTATAATTATAGGTTGCAAACGAATGTTTGCTTTCAAATCAATAAAACTTATTTTACTTATATTACGGGCTTTTATGTCATGGCCTTCTTTACAAGTTAACGATTTAAAACATCCAATCAGGGGCCACATTGCGCATCTCGAAACGAAACACTGTGACCCCAACGCAAGCAATGTGTCCCCAGGTATTTTTAGATACTCGTATCATTTGAAATTTGATTCCACTAAATATTTTCTGCCAAAATGAATATATGAAATATAAAATTAGGCCAAATTAATTTAAAAAAAAAATTGCGTTTCCTTTACAACCTTTTCATTTTGCTAAGGTTACGTAGATCATGAAGTAGCTTAAAAAATAAAGTACGATCGGTACAAAATGATCGAAAAACTTTTTTGTGGCAGTGTGCAAAATTTATAAGAGGAGGAAAATCGATGGTCATACATAAATGTACCTTTCAGAATATTTTTTCTTTGTTTTGACAACACTGTCCCCTCCAATGCAAAGTTTCGCATTTCAATAAAAGCACAACCAACAACGAGAGATACTGTACCGCTCCTACACGGTGCGGATGATGTTACTTACCCTAAATTCACCACCACTTCCGTCGTCCAACTCCAGAACGTAGCCCTGTACGAACGAATGACTGGGTGGCTGCCATGCAACAGTTACTGAGTTGTTCTCTGCGGAGCAGTCCTCAGGGATGATGATCGGTGCCAAGGGAACTGGTAAAGTGGGTGGTTGACGTCCGTACACACATCCGTATATAATTCACATTCAAGAATGGAACAGCAGGTCCGAGTCGTGAGAGGTGGAGAAATGAAAATGGAAATAATTTGAATTATTAAAAACGTTGCTTTTGGCACAGGAATTCATTTCGTTGGAGAAAGTATGTTATTTCAACGGACGAAATAATGAAATGAAAGCAAAGGCAAATATGAATAATTAAATTCTAGGAATAACAGGGCGTTAGGATGCTGGGAGTTTCCTTGCACAAGAGGTATATTTGAAAAATAATGTGTACTCAAATCATGAACGAATGCAATCAATAAAGCGAACCATCATTGGAACCTAACGTAACAGGTATCTAAATTACATTATTCCTTTTTAGGTCAAAACTACTTAACATGCCACAATCAACGATGTAGCTCTGTGATCTCGACAGCGACAGATGGAATGCACCTTGCCTTGATTTCAAAAATCCGTGTAAGCAACCAAAGCTCTCGCCTTCGGGATGATTGATCAATGCAATGGACGGTTGGATTTCATTTATCATATTGGCTCGTGCTTGCAGAAGTCGAGAGAAGAGAATGTGCGGTTAATTCGAATCCAGCTTGGAAACCGAGCTTTAACAAAACCACAACCATTACAGTAACAGCTTATTCGATTCAATTTTGCCTGCAGCTACAGTCTACAGTTGTAAGATTTCCAGTCAGTAGGACTAGCACATGGTGGGCGATAAATGGAGGCAATTATGAGCGGAAATGTGAACGATTAGGAAGTCGAATACCGTTGTCGAGCTAGATTGAAGTTCTATCAGCATCCTTAATTGTGTTGTACCAATTTTACTAAATATTTTACACTATTTTCCCCATTTCAGCAAAACAATGGAAACCATTTCAAATCCAGTTACATCAACATCCACTTGTCGATTAGCATTCCATTCTTGCATCGTTCATCGGAGATGCAAGGCGAATCCCGTCCCAAATCCACAGGACTATCACTCGGTGCTGCTGCGGTTCGGTTTGATGATGGAAAATGTGCTTCGACAACTAGCTGTATCCATGAGTTGATGCATGCAGCACACGACACGATGCATCGCTACTCTGAGTGAGTGCTTTCATCCAATGCACAGCAGCACTGCGGAGAATATTCGATTAAACCTAACCCTGGGCGACAGCGGTCTTGTGATGCATGTGTGTACAACGCATAAAACTACGAAACAGTGAGAACGAGCACTGCTTGGCTTGTTGTTTCCATAGGTACCTACTGAGACCATCATTGTTGCAATTTACAATTTACAGTTGGTATCATAGGAAAAAAGTGTAGGGATAAAAATGAACGTAAGTCCCTCTAGCGCGTGTTTTAGCTTCGGTACGAGTAAGTACATAGTGCTTGGTACCTCCTAGTAGCCTGGTCTGCAAAGGCGTAGCATACCGTGCTAGAGGCGGTGAATTCGATTGTGGAAGGATCATTTTTAAAAATTTAATGAAGGAACAACTGTTAAGCATATTTATTTGATAAATGCTATCTCAATCCCTGATTTCGGTGATATTTCAAGCTTAACATTGCATTACGTCCTTACTAACATTGACAGATTCTGTTCTTCGACTTTCTCTTTGTTTCTCCACGGCCATGTAAAGACATTCTCAGGTATTTTCGGCACACAGATCGATAAAATAAGCTTTTAGGGGCCTCATAGCCTAGTCAGTAAAGGCACGGTATTATCAAGCCGAGGCGGCGGGTTCGATTCCCGGTCCGGTCGAGGGAATCTTTCGGGTTGGAAAATTTTCTCGACTTCCCTGGGCATAGAGTATCATTGTGCTTGCCACACAATATACAAATTCATGCATTGGTATTGGCATCGAAAGTTCTCAATTAATAACTGTGGAAGTGCATTTAGAACACTAAGTTAAGAGCACACAATAAGCTAATATGCGCTAAGCAATAAGCTTGAAATGCGAACAAGAAGAAGAAGAAGAGCGCTACTTCGTCGTAATCACCCATTTCCGTTCTATCTAGCAGAAATCATCAATAATATCTTTGATTTCACCGCACACAAATTAATAATACGTTAATTTCGATCCGTTAGCTCATAAGCTACAAGACAAAGCCTATACGAGTGCGTTGTATAAATATTTAAACTCATTGTTATCAAAACAAAAGAAGCGCTCCTAGCAAATCAACTTTTTCTGTCTTCATTCGTAGAACAAAGAAAAACTTAGAAAACCCAATGGCGTTTCAATGCGTTAGGACGGAGTTGAAACTCGTAGAACAAATTTGCAATCAAGAAGCAGTGTTAGATTTCTTACAATATTTCAATTATTTGTAACTCTTTATCAAATTCAACGGTACATATAGAAAGGTAAATAAGTTTGGAAGTCATCTATAGTAGAATCACTCGATTTTTGAGTTCATATCCGTTCGAAAAAGAGAGCTTAAGTGTGGGTTATGCTTAGTGGGACGGAAATTAGAATCAAAACTGTAGCATCTAATACGAGAAACACAACAAGAAACGGTTATGTGCTCAAGTTATTAACGAAAGAGAAAGTCGACGAAAAGAATCGATCAATGTTACTTAGGACCTAATGCAATGTTCAGCTTGATTTCTAATACATATACGGAGTCTTGCATCATGCAAGCTCTCTGATCAATTACACGCCTTTAGGGTGGTGCAGTCTTATCAGAGAGTGGTATCCAGTGTTGCCATTATTTCATATTTATCTTGAATTTTCAGATTTACAGTCACCTTTCCAGATACATAGACAGATTACGTCAATTTCCAGATTTTTTAATATGTTTTTGACTCTCCCAGATTTTTAAAACATGCTGCATTAAAAATTTCACTGCAATTAATTTTCCATTTCATCAAAAAATAAGAAAGCCAATTATTAAAGGCAATCATTGTCCATTGGACACTAATGCAACATCGTACATGGAGTTGTTACAACACACACTTAGATTTTTTTTACAAAAGATGTAATCCAACTTTCACGCAAATTATGGGACATTAATAAACATGTCATGCAATATTAAGTGTTTTGAAACCGAATCATGGACAACTCGACAAAACATGCAGTTGATTAAATTGAATTTCTCGTTTCTTACAACTGATTCTTATGTCACAAGAGCCACTTGCATGGGCAGCCCTAAGTATGTGCCTTTAGAATTGATAAAACGATAAAAAAAAGGGTTGTGTCCTATACACGACCGCAGTATGACGTAGAACCACGCAAAATTGATGAATGTTATGCATTTTTGACGATTATACTTTATCCTAAATTTTTCAAGTATTTCAATGTTTCGTTTATGGTTCACTTTTTTTCCTTGGTTTTTGTTCCGTGCTGAGCACCAATGCTACCGACGCAGCTCCCTCACCTGGACCCTACCTATCGACCCATCAACTCATGAACCGGCACATAACTTTTCCGCGTATCGGTTTAGTGAAACGGGAACCAAGGCTCATTCCTAATTGTAAAAAAAATGTGATCACGCCGTCCACCTTTAGCCGCTGGCTTGGTCCTGCTTGTTACAGGACCAAGTGCCACGCCATCCGAAGCGGTAATGAGCAGGTTCAAGCAGAACGATGTGCAACCGCACCTGATAAGATTTCCCGTTTTTTTATGAATGGGGCAGGGCAGAAAGAATCTTTTGTGCAGAATATGTAAAAAAAGGCTGGGCATCGGATGTTAATCTAATTGCATATATAGAGGTACCAGATATGTTTTACAGTCAGTTGTTGGTAATTCACCAACAGAATAGAATATATACCTTTTTTAAGCAAAATTTTCTCAAATTTGAAAGTTTTGGCTCTATGGTAAGCGGGTAAAAAATTAACGGAATTTAACTTTTGCTTTTACTTATAATTTTAGTTTGCTTATAATTTATTTCCCGGAATAAAATGATAATTCCATGTCTTTTTCGGGTTGTCGTTTAAGACGGGGGGCAGGGGTGTTTTGCATGTATAACTTTTCCAAGTTCCTCCAAGTTCACGCCATGATCCACCTTAATCCACTGAATTGCTCCTGCTTGTTGCAGGACCAAGTGACCGCCGTCTGAAGCGGTAATGAGCAGAGGCATGAGACAGCAGCGCTTTTATATCTTTTCAGTCTCAAGCAGAACGATGTACAACCAAATGGTACTCGATTATGATGACTGGGTTAGGGAAAATTATCATTTGTACATATTTCAAATGTTTTTTTTTGTGAAAAATAGAAAAAAAAAATATTTATTTTAGCAGATTTGTTATGTATTATCCTATCGAATGACGTATTTGGATTTTATTTTCATCTAAAAATGACAAAGTTACAAGCAATCAAAACCTAACACTATTTCACCACACATATTTTTTGATTGGCACCCCAGTATAGTCGACAAAGACGTAGTTCTACGAAAAAAAGGTCCTTAAACACATCCAGATGATCCATAAAACACCGGAGATAATTCCCAAAAAAGTGTGAATGGTCCTTAAAAATATCAGTATGATCCACTTTAATGAAACATTTGTAAAAATATTCCTCTAAATTTCTAATTAATGAGCATTGAAATTGCACAAATTACCCATAACAATATTGCAAATAATCCATAAAACATTCAACAGTGAACCATAAACTAACGAAGTTGGTCCGCATTCGTGTTTATTTCAGTTACCATGGGAACGTAATTTGTGATTACCCGTGTCCCTTTCCAATTGTATCATTGTTTATGTACGGCCTTAAATTTTAAATGACTTTTCACATTCATCTAGTGATGGCCGATTTTCATTCGAATAATCGATTAATCGATTAACGAACCGAAAAGTAAAATGTTTGTAATCGGTTATACCATGCTGATATAAGCATTAACTTCTCCAGAGGATCATCACCCATCGTTTCAAACATATGCTGCACTCTCATTGGTGGAAAAATGACAGCACAGCGATCAAAAAATAATCGATTAGTTTTTAATCGAATAATTTAAAAATGGGACATCTCTGATTTTGGTGTGATTGTTTTGATAAAAAAAG